AAAAGAAGCAGGCAAAATTTTCCTCATTGTACCCTGCATGGCGTTGCCCATTTTCATTAGTCCACATGGTGCAGAAAAGTATGACGTAAAACTCCATTCATTTCATTTCATAATATGCTTGATAGCCTACTTATCTATCAGATAATGCTCTCACAAAATTAACAGGTGCTAAAAGCCTTTAACCTAGACTACTCATTTTGAATTATTACACCCTGTCAGTGTTGCAGGCTGACATGGAAAACACACCTAGTCATTCGGATGGGAAGATAAACCGAGGTCCCTAATGCTTCAGGGTGTGTACGTTAAAAAGTGTAAGCAAATGACTCTGTCCTGATAAGATGATCTTCATTGCACACTGCATAGCGTTGTCTGTCTTCTTTAGCCCAATCAGGTACATAAAACAGGACATAAAACGCTATTCATTTCATTAAAATTGAGGAAGTAGACTTGAACAGTAAGACTCTTTGTTTTCATGACTTTGATAGCAATGGTCTAGATAGTCAGAATATTCGGATTACATATAACCATGAACAAATTTGATTTTGTAGACTCTATTAGAACTGGCGCCAATAAAAATATTTATTTAAGGCCATTTAGAAAAGGTTGGCGACATATTGATAATATTGAAAGTAGACAGTTTTCGCCAAGATAATGATAATAAAATGTAACTATATCAATATTCTTGTTTGACAGTATCAAATCATACAGCACGATTCTGTCTGGCTAAGTAGCATACAAAATGTAATGATTTGACATACAACGATCGAAAAAGTAGTAATTTTAGATGTAGTGATTTTATATTAGATGTAATGAGAGAGGCATGATTTGGTATTGAGCGTTTAAAATGTATGATTTGATATGGAATAGTCGAAAAAGTTTTAATTTTAAATGTAATGATTTCATGTTATATGTAATGATTTTTAATGTAAATAATTAAGAGAAATGATATCATAAGAGGCAATTGATAAAAGAGGAAATGTAATGATTCGATACGTAATGATCAAATCAATGATTTTATTGTAATGATTCTAAAAGTACTGATTTTAGTTAAGACACGATTTGGTATAGAGCTACTAAAAGGGTAAAAATGTATTATTTGACACGGAAATTCGAAAAAGTAATTTTTTTATGTAATGATTTTAATTGTCATGAAAATGTAATCATTTGGTATGAGTAAACAAAGAGAAATGATTTTAAATATCATGGTTTTGAATGTAATGATTAATTTAGAACGTGAACAAATGTAATGCTATTGAATATAATCATTATAAATGCACGTTTTTAATCTTCTAATATTGTAAACAACCAATTAAATATGTCAAGATGATATAATATGTAATGAAATGTTATCAAAATGATTGAAATGCAATTCAATTAAATGTCGTCATAAAATAGACAGATGAAATAATCAAAAATAATGATTAGAAATGTAATGCTTTTTAAAATAATCTTTCAAAAGATTTTAAAATGTTAATATTCAAGATGTAATCATTTTAAATGTAACGATTAAAAAGATATAACGATTAAAAATGTTACAAAAATTAAAACAGAAGTTGAATCATATCATTACACAGAGTTTGCAATTTTAGATGTTATAAATGTAATGATTGAAATAAAGAAATTGAAAATGTAATGATTTGTTCACTGGAATTTGGAAACTGAACATTACGGTGAATTTGTTGTTTATCCTACTGTTTTAAAACTATTTATAACCAAATGAAGTTCATAAAATAATAATACTCCCACTATCAACATTAATTAACATCACAATATTAATAAAAATTAATATTTAATCGGATTGGCCATTAGGAGACAAGACTTAGTTATAGGTTATAAGTTTTATAGAGCTGGAACACACAAGCCATTTAAGGAGAACGGCTGACAACTTTTTAAAGAAACTTCTTAAAAATAAAGTATATACCAAGTTTCGTTCTTAGAAAAGACCCAACACCCATTTTCCGGGCATCTTTTCATGGCCAAGTCATAAATCAAATCACGGACATTGGCGGATGTTGAGCCGATGGTTGGTAGATGACAAGTTAACGTTCGCTTCCAGCGGATGCTGATATCGCAAACTAGGTAGTTGTTGGTAGTCGTAGTAGTTGGTAGTTGGATTGGATCAGTGTTGAGCCGAATGTGAATGCACCCTTTATTCCTGTCACACAATCGAGCGTTGGAGAGGGCAGAATTTGATTGGCTGGCGGGGTCATCAAACGGACGAAAGAGGGCCGTCTTTAGACCCTAACTGATGTGTCTAAATCAAAAATAAAAGTTAATGACAAATTGAACGACTGTTTGGTCTGTACCAAGATCAACCTACAGACAGATATTTACAGACAGACTATACAGCTATTACAACTTCGTCTAATACCTTGACTGCAATAGGAACATTTATTGTATCACGGAAGTGTAAATGAAGCGATTTCATTGGATTGTTTGTTAGCGATTTCAGTCAATCCGAGCTCTCGACAGAAAGTCAAGGGCTCTGGTTGGCCGTATTCGCTTGCGTACAATCCAATCAAAGCGCTGCATTCCGTGATACAAGGAAAGTGACTATTGCAGTTAAGGTATCGTAATAGCCAAACATTGAGAAGATCATTAAACATTAACTCTTCGATTATTTCATTATGGACTACAAAACTTTTATTAAGTTTACGTATCATCACATACATAACCAAATATCGTATAATAGACATTGTATATAACCAAACATTGTATATAACCAAACATAGTATATAACAAAAAATGCACATATACATAGATTTTCTTGATCATGATATAAATCTTAAGGATATAATCGTGTAATTATTGTTTTCACCAAACTGATAGAACATTTCAGTCTATTGAAAATCGCCAAAAAAGCTATAATAGTTAGCAAATGAAATAATTCGACGACTTTATCACTCTCAATCAACACCAATTGCTTTAACAAAGCCGGCATTTGTAGCTTTCTTAAATAATTCCGTCGTGTTGGTGTTGAATTTTTGCTACATCAAGAATCTATACAGGGATATCATACAAGATCTTAGGAATCAACTGTTATAGCATATTCCTTGAGACAAAGAACAATGAATCTCTTATTTTTGGCATATATAGGAATGAACGATACCAAAAGTAACCAATTGATTGATTGATTGAATGAATGATGCTGATTTTACAGTATTCTATTGCGAAAAAAAAGTTCTTTGAAGCTGTTTTGTATTATATGAAACTTTTGCATGCGAAGAGATATAACCTTCATTTTGAGATATTTTCACTTCGAAATTCAATGAGATAATTGAGATAATTTCAATACACAAAATGGTTTGCCTCAGATTTTATTAAGCAATTTAGATACTGAAACGATCAAAAAAAATCTAAATCTGTAGTTCAAAGTAGAAAGAACAAGTTTTAATCGTAGGTTTCCTGACAGGTTTAATTGTCATCTAAATAAGAGTACCGATTGCACTTAACTATATCACTCAATGTTTAACCAGTTGCACTTATATGACACTTAATCAATCACACTGTAACCAGAGAAATAACTAGCTCTTGACTTTTACCGCTGAGTGTAAAAAAGATAATATATATCATGGTTTGCTGAAGAAGAAAAACACTCAACATTGATGTTATGTTGAAACCTTTAAAAGGATTGTAAAGAGGATTTCTAAACTTGTTATGAGTATCGGGGACACTGATAGCATCAATTTGCACCATTCCAATTTTCAATTAGACGTCTGTGATTCCAATAACACTAAGCGTTTCATGACGTCACTATCGAAAAAGCTGCTAATGATGTTTAAGGACAATATGATACACAGAAATTTTAGAACTCTCCTATTTACGATCCATTTAAGGTGCACGGTGGGAAAAGACGAAGTGTGGTGAACGATGTGGAATTGTCGATATAAATAAAACACAAGAAAATGACAAAAAAACTGCTGCTCTTGTAATAGCTTTTTACTGTATCGGCAACCCAACACCACACACTGCACATGACTCCGTAGCTAGTCTATCTGCACCTTTACTCTGTATGTCGAATACCTTCAAAAAGCTCTCAGATGCTTATGTGTTTTTTTGTCTACGTCGTACACTGTTGCTAAAGAAACATTTCAGATGCTAGGTCTGATCAGGAAGTTCCATTATTCACGTACTAATAAATGACTGGCGCTCTGTTCTTGTATTGGGTTCGTTGCAGGGCTTTCCTATAATCCGGGATGTAATGGGTGGTAACTGAATATAATATTTGAATATCCAACCCGAATGTCAGTAGGAACATCAAAACAGCAACAGTCTGTAGCAATCCTTGGTGTCTTTTGATGACGGGGTCGTCGTTTTTTTTCTAACGAAGTTCCATATTTCCAATGCGCGACTGAGATGAAAACAGAGTCTCTTTTTCAGGTTTCAAACGCAATGTTCATTTGGAAGGATATCAGAGTTCGTTAGTTCTTGTGGTAGTGCTCAAAACTCGATTAAAATGATGTATTTGGTTGTGTTATTCGTAATCTTTCTTGGGAGTGTAAAAGTCATTCTTTATTAATGTTTAATGCTTGTCGGATCACATGTTATAGATGTCCAATATTCCAATGTCTTCATTATGCAGCACAATACCCGGTCGCTTGTATCCTATCATTCAATCAGCTTGTCGTTGGTGTTTAAAACAGTATTGCTAATGCGTTGTATAAGATTGGGTAGAATCTCAATGTTATTAATGCGCCAGGTCGCGCTTTCTTCTTTACGCTTATTTTCCAACCTTCCACAATATTAAAAAAGCATATCAACATCAGCTTAGATCATGATATGAGATGACAAAAATGGTAATATTTTAACCATGACTTCTTTTAGAAAATGACAAGTAATAGCTTTAACATCAAGCATTTTTATCACAGCAAATGTTAACTATGGTAGTGTTGTTACCGCGGCCTTCTTTGGAAAATGCCAATTTTCTGGTTAAATTTGTCTGGTAGCTTCAATATGGAGCATTTTTATCACAGCATGATTTTGTTATTTTTCGAATGAATAAAACTTACACTAATCACCAAGTATCACATTATAGGTGTTATGAAGCGATGTTTCGAAAGATTCCAGTATCTCCTATCATAATATAAGACACCGATTCCTTCTTAAAGCATTCTGGACTCGAACTGCTGTAGGTTTGTGACCATAGTCGATATAGTCTAATGTTTTCATTAATTCTTTAAATAATAAAATAATATGCCAATTAAACTTAGCTGAGCATTCGATATAACCACATTTCCATTGTTTTTTCACTAGATTAATCACCTCCCTACGGGGCATGCCCCTCTCCTCCGATTGATCATGCTTGTTCCCCACAACGAATATAGGCACATCGTGCATGTCCCGACTCTCCAAAATCTGATCACGCAGATTCTTGATATATTGGAAGCTATCCTCAGAGGTGATATCATACACTAATAAATAGGCAGTGGCATTGCGTAATCCATAGCCACGAAAATCCGTCCACTCATACAGCGAATTCACTGGGAAATATGGTATATAAGGACAATCTATAATTTTCAATTCATACAAATGCTCGTTGATGATCACTGATGGACAAAACACTTGTTTCTTATCTGTACTGAGATATTCATCACTGTACTGGCTGCATACGAATTGTCGAATTATCGAGGTTTTCCCGACCCCTGGTGCACCTAATACAGCTAGCTTCACTGTCTGGAACTCAGCATCAATCGTTAGATGACTAGTCGCCATTTTATCATGGTTAAACACTCTTCGAAACTTCATATGCCATCTTTTGCTCGAGGAACCATCCACCCTTTCCTGTTCCTCGGCAATACAAATTTCTGTCTTCGACTCCGTGTTGGCTGTTTATATTTCATACGACAGGCATCCGCCACAATTTTTCTCTCTTCGATTCCAACACGAGGCTTTCTAACAAGCCGTTAATGGTTCCGATCGTATCCGAAAGGTATTATTCGTGAAGGGCTTGGTTGGATTGGTCTCAAATCATTTCAACGTTAAGCAAAGCGAGAGTTTTCCCGTATTGATTTTTACAGGAAAGCTGATACGAGCTCGGACTAGAATCAATCAAAGATTGCCTTGGAACGGTATTGATCGTTGCTGAGAAGAAGCGCGCGCTCTGACATTAATCACCAGTAACAGAGAAGTAGGGGGTTTACTTTTCTAGTTACCTTCTCTAAAGCTATTTGCTGACTTTTTGACTGGAAGCTGATTCTATCTAGTTATATTAATATTAGCTCAATTAGATTCTATATTATCACTCATGGCAAGGTGGTACTCTTCAATTTCAACATAAATGGACGTTAATTTTGTGAAGTCATAATGAACTAGTAATAGCCAAGCTGTAGGAATCCAGATCAATATAATATGATACTCGGCAAATATCATTGAGAAATATCATTTCAAACTTCATTTAACAGATATATGAGATCGAGAGGCATTACATACTTATGACGACCCACAATGAAATGAAATACAGCGAGCCTTACGTCGCATTTTCCAAAATAAACCAACTAATGAGTATTTAAATTTCATGGTCGACATCGCCGTAATGCTATATTTTATGTGGTATAAATGAAAAATTGACACAGGAAATGGAGCACTTTACCAAATTTGGTACCATATTGAATTTTTTAAATTACATATCTGCAAGCTTTTCATAGATCATAAAAAGATCGAAGTTTAAATGTATCAGAAATGTATAAAATTCTACAAAAAATGTAATTTAAATACATTGAAGACGCAACAATACATATTTCAGATACATTAAAGACATTACAA